TTCTCCTGACTCAAATTCCTGGGTAGCTGTGACTACAGGCGTGCACCACCTTGCCCGGCTAATTTTTTGTATTTTTAGTAGAAATAGAGTTTCACCATGTTAGCCAGGATGGTCTCGATGTCTTGACCTTGTGATCCACCTGCCTTAGCCTCCCAAAGTGCTGGGATTACAGGTGTAAGCCACTGCCCCAGCCTGTAATTAGCTTTTTTTTTTTTTTTTTTTAACAAAAGTTTGTGGCCATATAGTAGGTGTGTATATTTATGGGTAATCAGCTTTTAAAAGGAGTAAATTTTATTTCAAGGGAGAGAAAATAAGTCTTCATTCTCAAAACCTGAAGATAGTAGAAAACAAATGTTTGTTAAAATTGATAAAGACGAGCCGGGCGCGGTGGCTCAAGCCTGTAATCCCAGCACTTCGGGAGGCCGAGGCGGGTGGATCACGAGGTCAAGAGATCGAGACCATCCTGGTCAACATGGTGAAACCCCGTCTCTACTAAAAATACAAAAAACTAGCTGGACATGGTGGCGCGTGCCTGTAATCCCAGCTACTTAGGAGGCTGAGGCAGGAGAATTGCCTGAGCCCAGGAGGCGGAGGTTGCGGTGAGCCGAGATCGCGCCATTGCACTCCAGCCTGGGTAACAAGAGCGAAACTCCGTCTCAAAAAAAAAAAAAAAAAAAAAAAAAAAAAAAATTGATAAAGACGTAAAAGAAAGGGAGCAACCTTAAGACTAGATCAAGACTGTGTGCCCATAATATGTAAATTACAAATAAAACATTAATGAAAAAGCCCATGCGTAGACAATTTGTGTTTGAAAAAGAACCAAAGAGAATGAAAACCTCTAGAAATGAACAACATGGTCATTAACAGTTAAAAGAGCCAGCAGACAGGAGAAGCAGCTCGCGCTCAGCCGAAGAGACGAGCGGTGTCCGGAGGGGACGCGTGGGCCAGGGAGGCGGCGATGCCAGCCCGTGCCCAGTGCAAGTTCCAGGAGGAGACGAGAGCGGGAAAGGAGGAAGTGAAGACTGAGGATTTCCCAGAGTTCATGACATACGTGACACTGCAAGAAGTCCAAGTCCATAGTTAAAAGACGTCACAGCTATATACATCACCGGAAATTTTCAAAACATTAAAAAGCAAACCTTGTAGATGGTTGCAACCAAAACAAAAAGACTTCCCTGAGAGGGATGAGTGGTGGACTGGCGACAACTCCCAGCAGACCGTGGCTGCGAGCTGAGGTCTCTGCCTGAGGAGCCCTTCAGAGTGATGTGACCAACGCCACTGCGGCCTGAGATTGAGGCTCACTGTGCAAAGGCTCCTGCAGAAGCAATACTGAAGGTGGTTCTTCAGAGGCGGAATTGAGCTCAAAAGACAGGAGTGGAATTCAAAACGCAAAGGGGGCCAGGCATAGTGGCTCATACTTTTTTTTTTTTTTGACACGAAGTCTTGCTCTGTCACCAGGCTGGAGTGCAGAGGTGCAATCTTGCACTGCAACCTTCACCTCCTGGGTTCAAGCACTTCTGCCTCAGCTTCCCAAGAAGCTGGGACTGCAGGCGTGTGCCACCATGCCCAGTTCATTTTTGTATTTTTAGTAGAGACGAGGTTTCACCATGTTGGCCAGGATGGCCTCAATCTCTTGACCTCATGATCTGCCCTCCTCGGCCTCCCAAAGTGCTGGGATTACAGGCGTGAGCCACCTCGCCCGGCTGTGGGTCACATTTGTAATCCCAGCACTGTGGGATTCACATTCACATTTGCTGTAGTAAAGTCTGCAGTTAATAAATTGCTTTCTTTTCCTCTTAAATAATAATATAAAGGGTTCTGAATGCCTTGGCTCTGACCAGTGATGGATACAATGAGTTCTGTATTTCTCTTCAAAGAATGGGTACGTCAGTATGCTCAGTTATTTGTCCTGCCAGCTCCACCCTGGACTGTTACTTCTGGTAGCTTCTTTTTTACCCCAAACAAGCCTGGGGAAAAAGTGAGACCGCGTCTCCCTAAGAAAAAGTAAAAAAGTTAGGCTGGGCACAGTGGCTCACACCTGTAATCCTAGCATTTTGGGAGGCAGAGGCAGGTGGATTGCCTGAGCTCAGGAGTTCGAGACCAGCCTGGGCAACATAGTGAAACCCTGTCTTTACTAAAATACAAAAAAATAAGCCAAGTGTGGCGGCATGCAACCATTATCCTAGCTACTCGGGAGGCTGAGGCAAGAGAATCCCTTGAATCTGGGAGGCGGAGGTTGCAGTGAGCCACGATCACACACTGCATTCCATCCTGTGCAAGAAAGTGAGACTCTGTCTCCAAAAGAAGAAAAGAAAAATTAGCTGGCGGGTATCTGTAGTCTGAGCTACTCGGGAGGCCAGGATGGATCATCTGAGCCCAGGAGATTGAGGCTGCAGTGGGCTGGGATCGTGCCATTATGCTGCCTCTAGCCTGACAACAGACCCTGTTTGTAAAAACACATAATTTTTCAAAAGCAAAAATAAAATCAAAGGAAGGTTTAGAGAATAAAGGAAACATCTCACAGCAAAATGGCAGGTGGCAAATGATATGGAAAGAAATGGAGGCTCAGTGTGGGTGTTCCCACAGCTAAGGAATATGAATTACAAAGAAGAATGTGCGCAGAAACTGAAGGAGGAGCGTAGCCGGGACGCCGCGCAGTGGGTGAATGCAGGAATGAACTGTGCATCCAGGCAATGGAGCATTGCTTAGTCCTGAAAAGGTGTTCTCCAGCCTTGGAAAGGCAGGTGGCCTTAAGTGCTATCACTGAGAGAAATTATTCTGTGTGACCCCAACTCTCCAACATTCTGAAAAAGGCAAAACTGTGGCCAGATGCCTGGAGTGAGACCCCCAACTTCATGAGGGCAGGTTTCCGGCAGCGGCATTTGGAGGCTTCATGAACGTTCGTTCTGGCACTTGTCAACCTTAAGTTCTTTCCGAAGAGCATATGTCATTTTTACAAAAGAAACTGAATTTTCTGTCCATAGAGTTCGGGAGCCCAGACATTGGGACGAGGGGACATGAGCGCGTGGGTTCTGGCCTCAGGCAGGGCGGGGGGTGGGGTGGCTGAAGCCCCACCCCGGGAAAAGGCCTTGACGGGGAGCACTGCGTATGGCCCCCAAGCGGGGAGGGGGGCCGCGCGACGGAGCAGATGGCAAGGGTGTGCGAATAGTGAGGCTGTGTGTGCGCCGCCCGTGCAGTCCCTGTGAGCCAGAGTTTTGCTCCTCCAGGGAGGCACTGGGTTCCTGCCTCGGGCAGGGGAGGGCGGGAGGACACTGCTGCCCATCTCGGGCCTCCCGCCGGGGTCTGGCTCCCTCCTGGCTCATCTGGGGGCTGCTTTGCTCTCCGTGGGCCGGGTCGGGGGCTCTTGGGAGCCTTCGGTGGCCGCTGGTCTCTGTCCGCCAAGTCCTCGGTGAGACAGGGAGGGGAAGGAGAGAGGAGCGCGGAACCCCCAGACTGCCCTGGCCTGTGCGGCCACCACCGTGGCCAGGAGGACGCCTGTGTCCCCTGCGCTTTGTCACTGGGCGGGGCAGGCACCTTCTGAGATCTCACCTGAGACATTTACAGTTTGAGAGAATGACTGACTGAAACCTTCAGACAGAAAGTGGCGTGTTGAGATTCCTAGAATGGGGTGAGGATGCTAATGAGTAAGCCTCGTGGGAAAAGAAATGATGAGGAAACAGACGCCTTGAGGTGGGAAGAGGGGACTGGGTCACGAGAGAGGAGCCGGCCACATGCCCTCTGCATTGGGAGCTTGGGGTCTCCCTGACTGAAGACGTAGAGGGTGGCTGCAGTAGTGGGAGGAGCCTGCAGACCTGACAAAGTGGGGGACACCTCGGGAAGTGGGAGGAGCCTGAAGACCTGACAAAGTAGGGGATACCTGGGGAAGTGGGAGGAGCCTGCAGACCTGACAAAGTGGGGGACACCTGGGGAAGTGGGAGGAGCCTGAAGACCTGACAAAGTGGGGGACACCTGGGGAAGTGGGAGGAGCCTGCAGACCTGACAAAGTGGGGGACACCTGGGGAAGTGGGAGGAGCCTGCAGACCTGACAAAGTGGGGGGACACCTGGGGAAGTGGGAGGAGCCTGCAGACCTTCTCCTTGGTCTCCTGGTTTCCTCTGCACCCCCATCTACTTCCCAGCACCTTCCCTGGCTCTCCCTTCATGAACACCCTGAGGAGGCCATGCCTTTGCTCTCTCCGTGCCCATGGTTCAGAAGGCCTGTGTGAGAAGCTCTTGGGGGTCTGCTCAGGTCTGAGGGCAGCTGTCTCAGTGCTGGCTCCTGCCGTCCACGCAGCTTCTTGAGCCAGAAACCTCAGAGTCATTCTCTGTCTCATTCTTCTCCTTCCAACACCCACAGGCTGTCCGTTCTTCTCCAGTCGGGCGCAGGGCCGTCCCCATCTGCACCTGTTGTGAGCCACACTGCCCGTCTGCTAACCCCATGCTCCCCTCCCAGCTGCCCTCTCCTGCGTCCCATTTTCAAAACCAGCTGGGCAGCGGCCTCTCCAGCACAGCCCTGGAGTGAGCAGACCTGGGCCCTGCACTGCCCAGCACACATGGGTTGTGTGTGAGCTGGGATGCCGGCCCAGCACTTTAAAGAATTGAGCACTGAAAATGCCGCAGAAAGCTTGGTTAGGAGCAATCCATGGAAGCCTGAGGGTCACCAGGGGTCCCAGGGGTCGGCTCTAGGGCAGAATCATGTCCTCCAAGTAGAAAGCCAGCCTGGCTCGGGCTGTGGCCTCAGCCCAGGGGGACCCCCAGCTGCCCTTCATGCCCGTGTCGCTGTCAATGCTCTGCGTGCCGCCAGGTGTCCTTGTGGTGGGGGAGGCCGCCATCAGTGCCCGCTGTCCTCTTCCTGCCTGCCTGCCCATCCCTGGGTCTGATTCAGACCAGAAAGAGAAAACAGGAGGCGGCAGAACGGCCCTTTGTAGTTGCTCCTGAGGCCGCAGCTTGGATCTGGCTGGTCGTCCCTGACCCGCCTTTTGGGTTTCTCCTCTCACCACAGTGAAGATAGTGATCCGGGGAGACAGGAACACGGGCAAGACGGCGCTGTGGCACCGCCTGCAGGGCCGGCCGTTCATGGAGGAGTACATCCCCACGCAGGAGATCCAGGTCACCAGCATCCACTGGAGCTACAAGAGTGAGTAGCGGGCGCCCCAGGGCATCGCTGGGCGGGCTCCAGGCCTCTCTTCTTCCGCCTCAGTTCTGGGGGACGTGTTCCTCAGATGGGGTCTCCCCGAAGAGCGCTTGTCTATGAGGGACCCCGCACATGTTGGGGTCCCAAAGTGAACTCCGAGGCCTGTCTTGGTGTGAATGACCCTGCTGCCTGGAGTGTGCTTCCTGAAGCCCCCCCGACCTGGGAGGCTCAGCTCAGGGCGGCAGTGGCTGCAGGTGAGTGGGCACTCAGGCTCCTGGGGGCTGAAAGGAAGTGTGTTCCGAGGAACATTCCCTGGCCGGCACCCACTTGGCGCACACAGAGGTTTTCTCTTGGGGCCCAGCCTGACATCCTCTCCACCACCAGAAACAGAAACAAGACCTTCGAGCCTTGACTTCTGACGTGCCCCTCAGAAAGTCTGTGTCACTAAAAGGTTCAGTGAGGTGGGCTTGATGGTGCCACAGACTCCTCCCCCAGGTCTCAGTTGGGTGTGGGTGGGCTGCGGCACTGGTGCCTGGGAAGGTGGGGGAAGTGACGACTGTGGCGGCTCCAGGGTTTGTGCTGGGGAGGCAAAACGGCTGCTTGGAGTGTCCAGAATCCTGACAGCAAAAGCTTCAGGGCTGTTTTTGTTTGTTTGTTGAGATGGAGTCTCTCTCTGTCGCCCAGGCTGGAGTGCATTGGCGCGATCTCAGCTCACTGCAACCTCTGCCTCCCAGGTTCAAGCAATTCTGTCAGCCTCCCAGGTAGCTAGGATTACAGGCACCGGCCACCATGCCCAGCTTATTTTTTGTATTTTTAGTAGAGACGGGGTTTCACCATCTTGGCCAGGCTGGTCTTGAACTCCTGACCTCATGATCCACCCGCCTCAGCCTCCCAAAGTGCTGGGATTATAGGCATGAGCCACCAAGTCCAGTCAGGGCTGTTTTCAACATCGCTTCTTTTCACTGCAAAAAAAAAAAAAAAAAAAAAAAAAAAAACCCCAGTGTGCTACTAGAGGGAGGCAGCAGTGAGTTCCTGCTGCCCCGTGGTAACAGCTGACACCTAGACAGCTGTTCAGGAGCTGCCTCGGAACAGTGAGCTCCCTGCTGCCCTGTGGTAACAGCTGACACCTGGACAGCTGTGCAGGAGCTGCCTCGGAAGTGCTGGGCATTGGCTGTGCTCTGGGGCCTGGGAGGGTGGTGCTGGGCTGACGGGCGCAGAGCCCACAGGGCTGGTGTGGAGAAGCTCTGCCTGCCACCACACCCTCTTCCTGGTTTGGGGTGAGGCTGGGCTCCGGAAGCATGGATGTGGTTGGTGTGGGGACAGGTGCATGGCAGTTTGGGGGGCTAGGGCATGCCTCTCCCCTCTGGTTCTCCCTTTTCCTTCGAATCCTTGGGTGGGTGGGAGTCTCTATCCATCAGCTCCCCCAGTTCCCAGCATGCTCCAGAATAGAGCACAGGCATGGGCGCTCCGGAGGCACAGGGGGTACCAGCAGGCCCAGCTGGGATGGCACGGCATAGGGCACGCCTGGGTCCTGTCAGGTGGCTCTGAAGGGAGGGTCCATCCTCTGCCCTCAGTGGTTACTTACATCCCACTCCCTCAAAGTGACCCAGAGGCCAGTCACTGGATGAAGAAAAGGGTCAGGAGAAGGTGACACAGTGGGCCCGTTACATTCGCACCTGTCGGCAAGAGAGTGCCTGCTCTCATGCAGCCCATGCGCAAACCTAGACATCACAACCAGGAGGGCCACCTCCCAGGATGCAGAGGCCAGCAAGGCTGTGCCCAGGACCCGGGTGGGGAGAGACGGGCCGTGCCCAGGATGGGGGCTGGGGAGGGAAGTGCTGTGCCCAGGATCCAGGCCGGGAAGAGAGGGGCTGTGCCCAGGATCCAGGCCGGGAAGAGAGGGGCTGTGCCCAGGATCCAGGCCGGGAAGAGACGGGCTGTGCCCAGGATCCAGGCCAGGGAGGGAGGTGCCGTGCCCAGGATCCAGGCCAGGGAGGGAGGGGCCGTGCCCGGGATCCAGGCCAGGGAGGGAGGGGCCGTGCCCAGAATTGGGACCAGGGAAGGAGAGCCCGTGCGTTCAGTATGGCTGAAGCTGTGTCTTGGTGGAGCTGCCTTGCAGATGTCTGGGGAGGGCAGGTCCCAGGCTTCTAGACACTCAGAAGTCCCGGTGGGAGCTGGTGCCTGCAGGGCACAGACAGCCACACCAGCCTGGCCCCTGCACGCCACCCTGGGAACTTCATGTTGGGCACTCATCATAGGATTCTCCCATTTTAGCCACGGATGACATCGTGAAAGTTGAAGTCTGGGACGTGGTGGACAAAGGTGAGATGTCTCTGTTCTGTGTCTACTTATCTGCGTGACTCTGTGCTCTGCACAGAGAGGCCTCCCTTCTTCCCTCCTGATACCCACGCATCACCCACTGTCCTTGTGGACAGTGTCCAGGGTCTGGCTGCTCTGCTCCCCTCCACATCCCGTGGTGGCACCAAGCACTTTGCCACTTCAGCTGCCTCCTCGCCTGAGTGACTGTATGTGGCCAGGGTGTTATTTCAGGAGCCCTCCTCCTGCACTGCCTGGCAGAGCAGCCTAGCACCAGGCGGCCCCATGCCCACAGCCAAGGACCCAGCTCCTGCACTCCCGAGACAGGCTGTCCCTCCAGGGGGATGTGTCCCCGACAGGGAGCCCTGGCCACACAGACCCGCATTCTGGGGGCCACAGGAGGTCAGCCCCCAGGGTGTCCTCGACAGCCTGTGTCCTCCTCAGCAGCAAGGCTACAAGTTCCTCTAAGTCCTCGGGGTGGAGCCCACTGCCCTTCCTGGGGCCCGTGGTCTGTGTGCATGCATGGTGTGTGCAGGGCTGGCTGGGAGGCTCTGATGGAAGGCTGCAGTGGCGGCCTCTGTGTGGTGGTGTCTGCTTGGATGGGGCATACTCCCCTCCCTCCACCTGTGCTTGTTGGGTGGGTTTGTCCATGGGGGGGTCAGAGGTGGATGCTCAGTTCCTGCAGGGGTGCTGGGCCCCCTGTGGCTTCCCCCAGGCTATGCTGGACTCTGTGTGGACCATGCTGACCTGGTGGTCCAGAAGCTTTCTCTGTAGAGTTCTCATTAACTCTGGCATTAAAAGAGGCAGCCACCCACTGCCCTGTCGTTGTCCTCATCCCCACTGTGAGGGGAAGCTGTAAGATCTGTCCACGGCCCCCAGGTGGCTCAGGTGGAGCTGCCCTGGCCCCCATCTTCGGCCCCTTCCCCCACCAGGGGCAGGGTGCCTTTTGGAGCTTCAGAGATTTCCTGTGCCTCCCTCCAGTTCTGGCTCCCTGGCTCTGCCCATGTGTGGAGCGGGAACAGGCTTCCCGTAGACAGGGTTGTCCAGAGTAGGGTTTGTATCTGGGTGCTGTAACGGGTGTGGTGTCCAGCACTTAGGGTGGGGCCCCCTTCCTGGTGGGCTGTCGTGCCCCAGGCTGGTCTGGGGGCCTGTGGGTGAAGAAGCCGGCCGGCTGGGTGAGGCGTGTGCCTCCTACACCCTATTCAGTGCTGGGCTGGGTGGGCTTCCTCTGGGGTCGTCCCTGGCTGGGAGCTCTGGGGCTCCATGTGTACCCTTACACCCACCTGTTAGCATCCACTGGGAGAGGGTCACTTGGCCTAAACCAGGACCTCCTCAGGAGGGAAAGGACTTAGCTCCATGATGAGGCATGCCTTTCACCCCACGTGCCTTCCACCCCACGTGCCTTCCACCCCAAGCTGTGTGAGGTGTGAGCACCCTCCAGAGCAGCCAGGGCGGCCGATGGGGCACACATTGGAGGGGGTCTAGGCCTCATGGGCACAGGGTGAGAGGAAGGCGAGGCTAGCAGGCTCAGCTGGGGGGGGGGCTGCCAGGATGGGGCTGAAGGGAGAAGTCTCTGGGTGAGCCAACATCCCTCCCCTCTGTCCCCTACAGGTGGTATAGCAGGCCAGATGGCTCACCCAGGAGGTGCTGGTTAGGCTGTGGGCATCCTTCCTGGGTGTAGTTCCCCACCAGCCAGCAGTGCTGTGCCAAATGTGTGTTTGGGCCTCGGCTGAGCCCTTTGTGGGCCGGTCTGGGCATGCTCTTCTGGGCTGGGTCCGTCCCCTACACCTGAGGAGGGTCTGACTCTCCAGTTCAGATATGAGCTGTGGAATGAGTGGAGGGTGGAGTTTGAAACACTTGGCTCATCTGTTCTTAGGGCTTTGTGTGTTGTCCCAGTCTGAGACTCCAAGACTAGAACCTTGGAGTTCCCAGGCTGGTCTGGGAACTTTCTCCTCAGATCAACCGTGGAGATAAAGGGAAGGGGCCATGGCCCCTCATGGCTCAGGAGAGCCATGGTGACCTTGATGGCAGAGGCTCGGGGGCCTGGACCACGGGCACCACACAGCTGCCCACCTCCCTCCCGAGGCCACTTTGGGGCTGGGATCCCTGCCTTCCTCTCCTTTCTTCCCGGGCTGGTTGCCAGAGTAAGGGGCGTGTCACTTGAGAGTCCATGTGCTTGTCTCCCCACTTTTACCCCTGGGGGAGGCCCCTCACCTTCCCACCTCATCCCTCGTACTTCCCCTGCCCTGGACTTGGGCCTAGGTGCTGGGGAGGAGCCCTTCTTTCAGCTGGAAGCCCTCCCGTGCAGGGTGCGGGCCATGCCACTGCAGCCTGTCCGTCCTTGCCCAGGTCCTGCTGCTCCAGGGCTCATGGGTGCCTAAGCTGCAGGCTGCCCTGGGTGGTAGAACAGGGCACCCACCAGAGCTGGGGCCTAAGTGGCTGTGGGGGGCCCATGCTCCTCCTGTGGCCCAGGGCTTCCACCTCGTAACTTTTGTTTGTTTTTAAATAAGGAAAATGTAAAAAGCGAGGCGATGGCTTGAAGATGGAGAACGACCCACAGGAGGTGGGTGCTGCGTGCACAGTGGGTGGCTGGGACCCTGGGTGGCGGAGCCAGTGCCCAACGCTTCACACCCCTTTGCCCCAAGCACCCCATTATGCTGTGGCCCCTGGACTGCTGCCTTCCCAGCTGCTCGGGGACCCCACACTGCCATGGCTGCATTCAGGAACTGCCAGCTTACCTGCACTCAGCAGACAGCAAGTTGGACTGGCCTTTCATTTTCATTTGAATGACTGGAGAGGTATTTAAGTGAATTTGCCAAACTCCTGTGCTGTCACAGCCACAGCGGCCTCTGCCCTTCAGCACAGGATACATCTTGCAGCGGTGGCGGCAGGCGTGAGTGTTACTTCCTGGAGCCCCCTGGAGCCAACCTAGCCTGAGCCTTCTCACCAGGAGAGCTCCAGGACGCCACAGGGCCATGCACTCTCCCCGTAGGCCATGGGGGTGGAGTGACTGCCCACAGCTTTGCTGCCACCCTGTTTATGGGCACTGGAACCTTCCAGAATGCATATCTAGTGGAGGATGGCTAGCAGCACAGCACCCACTTCCATTTTTGAGTGGTGGTTTGGTCATCCGTGAGGCCTGGGGTGGACACTGCTGTGATTAGCAGGAGGTCCTGTTTAGGGGCTTGTCCCAAGAGCTGCCAGCGAGGCTGGTGTTGTTTGTCAGACCCTTTGGGGCAAACCTGTGCTTAGCCATACCACCTCTTCAATACTACTATTTTTTTTTTTTTTTGAGATGGAGTCTCACTCTGTTGTCCAGGCTGGAGTACAGTGGCACATGATCTGAGCTCACTATGATGTCCACCTCCCAGGTTCAAACAGTTCTCCTGCCTCAGCCTCCCAAGTAGCTGGGATTACAGGCACACGCCACCACACCCGGCTAATTTTTTTTTTTTTTTTTTAATTTTTCTATTTTTAGTAGAGACAGGGTTTCACCATGTTGGCCAGGCTGGTCTTTAACTCCTGACCTGGTGATCTGCCTGCCTCGGCCTCCTACAATGCTGGGATTACAGGCATGAACCATTGTGCCTGGCCTGGCATATCATTTCCAAATGGAAATGGCTATTATCTTTTCAGATTAGAAGACTATCCAGCTGTCAGGCGCAGTAATCCCAGCACTTTGGGAGGCTGAGGCAGGTAGATCACCTGAGGTCGGGAGTTTGAAACCAGCCTGGCCAACGTGGTGAAACCTTGTCTCTACGAAAAATACAAAAATTAGCCTGGTCTGGTGGCAGGCACCTGTAATCCCAGCTACTCGGGAGGCTGAGGCAGGAGAATCGCTTAAACCCAGGAGGCGGAGGTTGCAGTGAGCCGAGATTGTACCACTGCACTCTAGCCTGGGCAATGAGCAAAACTGTACAAAGGGGGGAAAAAAAAGACGATGACTATGGAGCCTTTTCCAGGACTGTTCCCCACATGGGCAGGGCCCAGCCTGGGCCAGTCTCACACCTGTTCCCTCCTGTGCCCAGGCGGAGTCCTGAAATGGCCCTGGATGCCGAGTTCCTGGACGTTTACAAGAACTGCAATGGGGTGGTCATGATGTTCGACATCACCAAGCAGTGGTGAGAGGGAGCTGCGGGGGCTGCCGGGACTCACCCCACACATAGTCCCTTGGCGTGGTGAGAGGTAGCTGCAGGGGCTGCCGGGACTTACCCCACACACAGGCCCTTAGTGTGGTGAGAGGGAGCTGCAGGGGCTGCCAGGACTTACCCCATACACAGGCTCTTAGCATGGTGAGAGGGAGCTGCAGGGGCTGCCAGGACTTACCCCATACACAGGCTCTTAGCGTGGTGAGAGGGAGCTGCAGGGGCTACTGGGACTCACCCCACACACAGCCGCTTGGTGTGGTCAGAGGGAGCTGCTGGGGGCTGCCAGGACTCACCCCCTATAGCCCCTTGGGCACCCTCTCTGTGCAGCAGATGATGGTTAGAACAGCATCATTCTGCAGGGCCAAGGGCTGCTTGCTGGGCAGCTGTGGCAGCTCAGCTACGAGGGGCACTGGCCTGGATGTTGGGCTGGGCACTGACCATGTCTGTGTATGTGGGCCAGGATGGTGTGCGCTGGCTGCAAAAGCGTCTGGAGCAAGGCACGCACCTTCATAGCCCCACATTTCTTCCTGAAAATTATCTGAGATTTGGCAGAAGCAAGTGGCCGCTTGTGTTGGGGGCTCTCCGAGACCTCCATCTTCCATGACCCAGGAGGACCCACAGCCAAGATTCATTCTGGCAAGAAGATGATGTCAAAACCAGCTAAGGGCAGCACACACAGGACAATTTCTGGAGGACCAGGTGGGAGTCCCCAGAGGCCACTGGGGAGTCGCCTGGGACCCCCTCAGCTCCTCAGGTGTCCCCCAGGACACACTGGAGCCCTGGTGCTGGGTGCTGGGACACACACTGGGTGAAAGTTCCCTGGACGAATGAGGCCGAGTGAAGACCAGCCTCCAGGTGTGGGTCCCTCCTACTCATAGCAACAGCTTGTGCCCGACAGCCTGACACACCCAGGTGTCTGCTCTTCCCAGCAGGGGGTCTGGCCTAGGGGCCTGGTCAGCAGCTTCTCTTACTTTGAGAAGGCACCCACACTAGGGTTAAGCACACCACCTGCCAGGGGGCGCACACTCAGCACACATCAGCAGCTCAGGCCTGAGGGCGGCTTGCAGTGCCTGGCTGGCCATGCTCTGGGCCTCTGCCCACCTTTGCCAATGGTGGGAACCCTGCCTGCCCTCCTAGCCTGCAGTGCCATCACCAAGGACTGACCAAAAGCACCCAAGGGAGAGCCCTTTGGAGGGTGTCGCACACAGATGCCAGGAGAACCACGTATGGAGCCAGTGGAAGAGCCCTCTGTGGGGGCTGGCACACGGACAGCAGGAGAACCACTCATGAAGCTTGCAGGAGAGCCCTCTGGGGAGTGTGGCATACAGACACAGGAGAACCACCTATGGAGCTTTCGGGAGAGCCCTCTGGTGGAGGTGGCATACAGACAGCCAGCGGGAGAGCCCTTGGGGAGGGTGTGACACATGGACTGCCATTGAATCAGAATGGAGCTGGTGGCCCACCCAGGGCAGAAGTCCAGTTCAGGCACACACACCAGCCTCACCTGGGCGAGCAGGGGTGCTCTCTCCCTCCGGTCTTTCCTGTCTAGGAAGCAAGCCAACCTGGTGGGTGGGAAGTGACTTTTCCCAAATGAAGCTAAGTGTGGATGCAGAGTGGCGTCCACAGCACCTCCCACCGCTGCCCCGGGAATGGCCTGGAGGGAGCTGCAGGGACCCAGGCTGCTGTGTGGAGTGGGCAGGAGGGGCCACAGGACTCGAGCCAGCCTAGGGAGACATGTCTTCACAGCCGTGAGAGGCAGGAGACGCCAGAGGACAGAGGGCGCCTGCTGAGGAGGCCGGAGGTGCCCCCGGGCCGGCCTTGGTGAAGGGGCCAGTTTAAATGACTGTGTGAATAAAAGAAAATTGAGTTAGAAACACAGGACGTTGGCGTTTCTCACCCGCTTGTGTTGGCTTCTGTCAGTCGTGGGGAAGTTTTGTCGCTTGAAGCACTAGAAATTTCTTCACAAGCCATTTGGAAAACCATGCAGTTGAGACTGGCAGCTCACACCAGGCAGATCCTGGAGACCTGCCATCCATGCTGGGACATGTCTGCCGAAGACAAGGCTCTCAAACAGCCCACTTAGACGGCTCTATTCCGGGGTGCTGTTAACAGCTTCGGGCAGAGCCTGGATGTGGATGTCCTGCATCTTAACGCAGTGTAGCGCCTGAAGCCAAGCCAGCTCCGGAGGTGTCCAGGAGGAATTTCAGCATTTGCTGTGTAACCGTCAGCCCGCCAAGGTGGCCATGCAAGCAGCCTCTTGGGCAAACATTCGACTCCACCTGAAGTAAGTCAGATGTTGTACATAAGAAATTTGCCACACAGAATCACAGCTGGAGAAATGTTGGATGTATTTGGGAAATGAGGACCTATTCGTCAAATCAGAGGTGGGGAGCACACCTGAAACGAGAGGAACAGCTTATGTGTTCTGTGAGAACGTCTCTGATGCCAGGAGTGCGTGTGATCACCTGTGGGGATTCAGTGTTTGTAGCAGATGCCTTATGGTTTTGTGCTGTGATGCCAACAGGGCATTTCAGAAGGTGGGCGCAAAGGAGGAGGAATAGCTGCAGCTTCTCAAAGAGAAATACGGCATCAACGCAGATTGGATTTATCCACCAAAATAAATGTTTTCTACCCTTTCATTTTGGACTGAAACCCGTGATTGACAACTATCACCTTGTCCTTTTTTCCCTTCTTAATACTAAATACTGTGATTTCTTATTTGAGGTTCAGAATGACATGCTTGAAACTTTGATACATATTAGAATACATGATGTTAATATACCTGTTGCCTTTTGTGGGGAGGGCGGAAAAAGCCTGCTTGACTGGCCAGAGCAGGGGCACCCAGGGCTGCTGTCCTCGGCCTCCCTGGTGGGCAGGGACCCTGGAGGAGCAGCCACAGGACCAGGCTGATGCCGAGGGGCACGCGGGACAGGGCAAGATGAGGGTGGGTGCAGGCGAAGCCTGAGGCGGTTTTGTAAGGATGCAGACATGGGGTGCTCGGGGTAACGCAGGGGTGCTGCTCTGTGGGGTGCAGTCAAGTGCATGCCATCCGGGCGAGGATGGGCAAGGACAGTGGAGGTGCTCCTCTGTGGAGCGCACCTAGTGTGTGCGGTCAGGGAGAGGACAGGCAGAGACAGGCCGGGACGCTTCACTGTGGAGAGCAGTCCAGCGTGTGTTCAGGGAGCAGGCGGGCAGGGCTGAAGGCTGGGAGGGTGCAGAGGCACCCGCGGCACTTCCTCGAGCTCTGCAGGCACGCAGCCTGCTCCTGCTGGTTGGGTGTTAGGAATGAAAAGCAGCTCCCGTCTTGAGGCCTGCACGCACAGCAGCTTCCCAGGGAGGGACAGGGCGCTGAGGGGCTGAAACTAAGCCAGGTCCTCACCTGTTCTCCAAGGACCTTCAATTACATTCTCCGGGAGCTTCCAAAAGTGCCCACCCACGTGCCGGTGTGTGTGCTGGGGAACTACCGGGACATGGGGGAGCACCGAGTCATCCTGCCAGACGACGTGCGTGACTTCATCGACAACCTGGACAGGTGAGCGCAGGGGAGGTGCTGAGGCAGAGGCCTTGGGAGGGGCTTGGGAGGTGTTAGTGTTATCGTGGGGGCTGGGGGATGTGAGGGGTTGTGCCGCTGCGTGGGGCTCCCTGAAGCCTGGGGGTCTCAGACGGCAGTGCCTGGGAACTCTGCCAGGGTGAGCTGCTGGTACGGGGGTTCCCCTGCAGAAGGACACTCGGCTTAGCTGCTCAGGAGGCTCCGGAAGGAGGGAGGGCAGTGCACACCAGCAGCTGTGGGCCCAGGGGTGGTCTTAGCACGGGGGCAAGTTTTCTCTCGCATCCGTCTTCCTTCCTGAAAGCAGACCTCCAGGTTCCTCCTACTTCCGCTACGCTGAGTCTTCCATGAAGAACAGCTTTGGCCTAAAGTACCTTCATAAATTCTTCAACATCCCCTTCTTGCAGCTTCAGGTAAGCACTCACCATGCAGGCGGAGTGGGCACTGGTCTTGCCTCTTCCTGCTGTGTCTCCTGCATAGCGACGGGGCTCCCTCCTCGCCCAAGAGATCGGTGGGCCTGCTTGGGTTAGCTGCTGGCCAGGGCCCAGCGTCCGGCTGCGCCTGCCTGCCCTTAGGCTGGGCCCGGGCCCAGAAACCCCTCTACCTCTGCGGGGATCCCTTGCTCAGTTTCCCCCTGGGGTTTTGGTCGTTTTTGTGTGTTGAGATAAGGTCTTGCTGTACGGCCCACGGTGGCGTGCAGTGGTGCAGTTGTGGCTCACTGCAGCCTCAAGTCCTGGGCGTAAGCGATCCTCCCACCTCAGTCTCCCCAGGTGCTAGGTTGACAAGCGTGAGCCACCAAGGCCCTCGCTGTTCACAGCTCACATTTACTTTTTTAATTTTTTTTTAATTAATTTTTTTTTTAGATGGAGTCTTGCTCTGTCGCCAGGCTGGGGTGCAGTGGCACAATCTCGGCTCACTACAACCTCTGTCTACTGGGTTCAAGCGATTCTTCCACCTCAGCCTCCCAAGTAGCTGAGACCACAGGCATGCGCCACCATGCCTGGCTAATTTTTGTATTTTTAATAGAGACGGGGTTTCACCGTGTTGGCCAGGATGGTCTCGATCTCTTGACCTCCTGATCCGCCCACCTTGGCCTCCCAAAGTGCTGGGATTACATGATTGAGCCACCACGCCCGGCCCACAGCTCACATTTCTGTGGTGCTTGTGTCAAAACCAAGGGGCCAACTTTGGTCTATGGATAAACTCTGTTTCCCTCGTGGAAACAAGGGGCCAAGGCCAGCCCTGGCTGCAAAGTAGCCCAGCAGACAACAAGGCTGCAGCCTCCTTCCCCAGACTGCCCCGTGTGGGTCTGAGGACCGGGACCTCCTCGCCCTGGCCTGCCGCTGACTGGGTCTGGGGGGACATGGGACTCAGCTGCAGCTGCAGCAGCCTTGGGCTTTGTCCAGGACTTCATGATTGCCCAGGAAAGGGGCTGTGCTATCCTGGTGTCCCAAGAAGTGGGGACACTGCAGGTTGGGAATGCTGCTGGAGATGTTTGGGTGGAAGGCAGGCCGGCAGTCAGACTTGTCCGGTGTCAGCACTGCAGAGCCGTCCCCTCGTCAGTGGGTGGTTTCTCCTTAGCCCCTCACTGCTCAGCTGCTCCATTTCCGAAAGGGTTTGCCCTCCAAACACTTCCAGAGCCTCTGAGGGAGAGAACAAGACCCTGGACAGTCTTGAGCTGGAAGTGTAGGCCAAGCTATGTGACTGTCCTTTTGCTGTGGATGTGTTCACGCACGTGTGACGGCCCCTCCCGTCTCAGCAGCAGGACCCCCGTTTCCTCTGTCTTGCTCTTGAATGGCCTGGAAGCAAATTTCAGGCCTTCTTTATGTCACCTAAAAATATTTCAGACACATCTCTAAAAACCCAGTTCTCTTTTTTTTTTTGAAACGGAGTTTCGCTCTTGTTACCCAGGCTGGAGTGCAATGGTGCGATCTCGGCTCACCGCAACCTCCGCCTCCTGGGTTCAGGCAATTCTCTTGCCTCAGCCTCCTGAGTAGCTGGGATTACAGGCATGTGTCACCATGCCCAGCTAATTTTTTGTATTTTTAGTAGAGATGGGGTTTCAACATGTTGACCAGGATGGTCTCGATCTCTTGACCTCGCGATCCACCCGCCTTGGCCTCCCAAAGTGCTGGGATTACAGGCTTGAGCCACTGCGCCCGGCAAACCCAGTTCTCTTTTTAACCTGACCATAGTGCCTAACTTAACACCTCACATTCACGTCACAAAGACTTTTCTTAGAGAAATGCAATTCCCAGAGCTCAGTATTCAGAGTAGGATCCAGAGTTCACACGTTAGTTACATTTGGCTGAAGAGTCTGTAGTTTTCTCTTTGTAAATCACATTTTTGTTATAGTAGCCATTTTTAGGGACCTTACTGACTTCAGTATCCTTTTTTTGTTCGTTTGAGACAGTCTCGCTCTGTTGCCCAGGCTGGAGAGCAGTGGCACGATCTCGGCTCACCGCAACCTCTGTCTCCCAGGCCCCAAGCGATTCTCCTGCCTCAGCCTCCTAAGTAGCTGGGACCACAGGCGTGTGCCACCACACTCGGCTAATTTTTGTATTTTCAGTAGAGACAGGGTTTCTCCATGTTAATCAGTCTAGTTTCAAACTCCTAACCTCGTGATCTGCCCGCCTCAGCCTCCCAAACTGCTGAGAGTACAGGTATATGACACCATGCCTGACCATCTACAAAACATTTTTAAAAATTAGCTAGGCATGGCCGGGGGCGGTGGCTCACACCTGTAATCCTAGCACTTTGGGAGGCTGAGGTGGGCGGATCACCTGAGGTCAGGAGTTTGAGACCAGCCTGACCAATATGGTGAAACCCCTGTCTTTAAAAAGAAAAAAAATTAGCCAGCCATGGTGACACACTCACGTGGTCCCAGCTACTCTGGAAGCTGAGGTAGGGAAGGGAACCCAGGAGGTTCAGGCTGTGGGGAGCCTACATCCTGCCACTGCATTCCAGCCTGGGTGATGGCATGAGACCCTGTCTCAATAAAATAAAACCCACACCGTCTGAAGTCTCTCTTAGCCTGCAGATGCTCCTGCTTTTTCTGTCTAGTTGATTTGCTCTCTCCTATATGCTGCCTGGTGTCCAGCCAGCAGAGCTTCCACAGCCACAAGAAGACACAGCCCTGTTCAGTCCTCAGGTGCCTCCTGCATGCGACTCAGGTGCTTGAGATGTGGCTGTTGCAGGTGTTTGTTTAATTTGAATCTAAAGTGAGCAGCAACAGGAACCCGAAGCTCATCAGACCAGCCTGGGGTTCCAGGCCAGGTGGGCTGTGGTTTGCTGCAGAGCCCAGCTGCTGGTGGGAGCGGGGCGGTGGTGACAGGGACGCTGGGGCTGAGTCCTGCCCACAGAGGAGGTGTGCGCATCTGGGAGCAGAGATACTGTTTTCCAGGTGAAGGTGGGCTTCTGCACCCTTGCAAGCGCGTGTGTGGGTGAAGGTGCCTGTGACTGGCATCTGTGCCCTGAGGCAGCATAGGTGTCATGCTGGCCATGTGAAGGAGCCCTATGGGCTTCGTGGTTCCAGTGAGGCCCAGCTCAGAGCTCCATGAGTTGCTGAGCAGCCAGCCCTGCCGCGTCTCCTGGTTTCGGCAGGCGGCGCCCCGATGCCTTCGGCTGCTGTCGGGCTGGGGTGCTCGCATCAGGAGGGCCCCTGCTGAGGCCCATGTGCTCCCCTTCTGCAGAGGGAGACGCTGCTGCGGCAGCTGGAGACAAACCAGCTGGACATGGACGCCACGCTGGAGGAGCTGTCGGTGCAGCAGGAGACGGAGGACCAGAATTACGGCATGTGCGTGGCTGGGCCCAACTGTGGGGGCAGTGTGAGGGCTGCAGGCACAGCCATGGTGCCAGGCCTGGCCTGCACCAGGACAGCAGAGGAGAGTGCCCTGTTTGGGATAAATCAGTCATGTTGGGACACAGGTGGAGGAGGGCTCAGGCTGGCACTGCCCCCAGCAGCCCCATCAGAGTCCCGCCTGGCATGGACTCTGTGTGCAAGTCATGCCGTGCCTGCTGCTCTGAGTGCCACTGACTGGCCAGGCATTGGTGCTGGGGGAGTCCTGCTGGGGCCGCCTGCTCCTCAGGGGCTCGGCTTCCCAGCCTGACCCCAGCGTGGCATGTGCTTGCTGAGGAGCCCCTTGTGCTGAAGAGGCACATGGTCAGGACGTAGAGGCCTCTGATCCTGGACAGCAGGGGGTGGCTCAGCATCCTCCTGAGTGGGTGTGGGCAGCACGCACAGCCCCAGGATTGCTGGTGGTGGGATGGCCGACCCATCCTCTGCCTCCGACTCCTGCACGGCTGGGGTCTTGGACCCTCCCCTGGGACCCAGTCAGGGACACGAAAACAGAGGCCCTCCAGAGTTCCCCAGGAGGTCTTTATTTCCAGAGGGAGAACCTGTGGGTCACCTTGGATCTGGCTGTTGGACAGAGCAGCCTGAGAAGGCAGTTTGATGCCTGGAGGGACCCGTGGCTTCTGGCTGCCAGGGTGGCCCCAGAAGGGAGCCCCTCACATGGGCGCTTCTCTGCGGAACCAAGCTGAGATTTCCTGGGACTGAGTTGGGCGAGCCAGACATTGCACTGGCTGCACGCACCCTGCCAAGCCCAGCCCCTCCTCTGCCCAGAGCCCCCATCAGCTGCCTCAGAACAGATCCACAGGGACTTTCTGGGGAGTGGGACATGCCCACGCTGGTGCCTGCTGTCCCTGCCTTTCGGTGCTGCTGCTCCCAGAAGTGGGTGGGGCAGGTGCCCCAGAACACAGTGGCTCTTCCCAGCCCCACCAGCAGCAGCAGAGAGCCCCCCGTCACTCAGGGGCCCCAGGGAGAGGCAGGGGAGCCAGGCTTCTCACCCGCCTTCTACCTTCCAGCTTTCTGGAGATGATGGAGGCTCGCAGCCGTGGCCATGCATGCCCCCTGGCGGCCAACGGGCAGAGCCCGTCCTCGGGTTCCCAGTCACCAGTGGTAGCTCCAGGCACCGTGTCCACGGGGAGCTCCAGCCCCAGCACACCCCAGCCTGCCCCACAGCTACCCCTCACCACCACCCCGCCAGCCTCCGTGGCCCCTACGCCACCCTCAGAGGCCCTGCCCCCGCCTGCATGCCCCTCGGCCCCCGCCCCACGGCGCAGCATCATCTCCAGGCTGTTTGGGACCTCGCCTGCCGCTGAGGTCGCCCCACCTCCTACAGGTAGGCCCTGGAGCTGCCCTCCGACCCCGGTCCCTGCCCCCACACCCTCACAGGTGGGGCCCCCGGTCTCAGAGTGCTCCCCACTTCTTCATGCTTGTCCCAGTCCCATGGGCACAGCCCGGGTGGGTCTGGCCAGGGGTTGGGCACAGTGAGACCTCCGGTGCTAAGTGAAGAGGAACCAGCGTCACTGTTCACAGAGCCAGGCCCGGCCGCAGAGGCCCCAGCAAAAGTCCAGAATGTGGAGGACTTCATTCCCGAGGACCCCCTGGACCGCAGCTTCCTGGAAGACATGGCCCCCGCCAGGGTCGAGAAGGTCGGGGCCAAGGCTGCGCAGCAGGACAGCGACAGGTGAGGGTGGGCCCTGGACCCGTGTCCCATTGCCCTCAGCCTCCAGGGTGCCCGAGCAGCGGGCAGGGCTGGCTTCCTGGGGGCACAGAGGGGACCCTGCCAGCTGGGGAGTGTGGCTGAGGACAGAGCAGATCTGTGGCCAGCGCAGATGAGGGAAGGGCTCGGATGGGGCTTTCAGACCTTGGAAAGTCCTGGCCACCCACTCTGCCCACACCCTGGAGAGGGCATATTCCACATGGCATTGGCGAGGCCCCTCGAGGTCACATGGGGAGGAGGTTTAGGCCACATGGAGGGCATTGGTGAGGCCACTCTGGATCACATGGGGAGGTTCAGGCCACCAGGTCTCCGCAGGTCCCAGAGCTGGGAGCTAGAGCCAGCTCCCGCCTGTCTGCCAAGCTGCCCCAAATGCTGCCTGCAGCAAAGCCTTGCCATTTAGTCCCAGGCATGGGCTCCACTGGACAGGCTCCACCTTGGGTGGTCTCAGCACCCTGTCCTTACCCATTGGTGGGGCACTGGTTTCCTACAGAAATACAAAGGACAGATAGTAGCCCTGAGCTGGACTCCCCCTCTCAGCGCCCACCTGCGCTGCCCACCTTCACACCACTGACCAGCCACAGGCCAGCACTGTGTCCAACCTTGTCCTCCCCGGCCCTTTCCTGCTCAGAAGCCCCATGACTGCCATGAGGGGCTTCTCCACTAGACACAGCTTCTAGCAGACCCTGGGGTGGCAACCACCAGGGTGTGCTGGGGTGCCTCAAACCAAGGCCTCTGAGCCAGGCCATCTGTCCCCACCCTGCCACCTCTGACTGCATGGCCATTTGCTTTGCAGTGATGCGGAGACCCTGGCTGGCAACCCGATGGTGGCAGGGTTCCAGGACGACGTGGACCTCGAAGACCAGCCATGTAGGGAGTCCCCCGCCACCCACGGGCCCCATCCCTAGTCAAAACATCACTCTTTCAAGTGAGGAGGAAGCCGAAGTGGCACATCCCCCAAAAGGCCCTGCGCAGGCTCCTCAGCAGTGCTCAGAGCCAGGGACCAAACGGTATGGGAAAGTTCTTCCAGGGGTGAATGAAGCCTGGACACCTGGGCAGGGGCAGCTCAGGACCCTCCAGAGGACCCTGACCCTCTCCTTGTCCACAAAGGTCCTCCGCACCAACCTCAAAGCTACAAAGGGAGGCAGCTCCTGCGAGGGCCACAGCACCCCCCTGGCCAGGCGGTGCCCCTGTTCACTCGGGTCCTGAGAAGCGCAGTAGCACCAGGCCCCCCGCCGAGATGGAGACAGGGAAGGGTGAGCAGGCGTCCTCGCCTGAGAGTGACCCCGAGGGGCCCATTGCAGCACAAATGCTGTCCTTCGTCATGGACGACCCTGACTTTGAGAGCGAAGCATCAGACACACAGCGCAGGGCGGTAAGACGGGTCCTCCCGGGCATAGGTAGGGCCCCTCCTGCAGGCCTGATCTGGGCTGGGCACAGTGGGAGGAAGCTTCTGGAAGAGGTGTCCTGTGTCCCCACACCTGGGCCTTGCCAGCTGGGTTTGAGGCCCCACAGTCCCCGGGGGTGTGGGAGGGACGGCGGCCAACCAGCTGCTCTCCCGTCTCCAGGATGAGTTTCCCATTCGAGATGACCCCTCCGACGTGAGTGATGAGGACGAGGCCCCGGCCCCGGCCCAGCCGCCCCCACCCCGCAAGCCTCCTCTCCCCGCCTTCAGACTGAAGAATGACTCGGACCTCTTTGGGCTGGGGCTGGAAGAGGCTGGACCCAAGGAGAGCAGTGAGGAAGGTGGGTGGGGTGCTGGGGTGCGGCCGGCCTGCTGGGGTCTGGCATGATACGGGCCTGTGGCCTCCTGCCTCTTCCCACCTGCCAGCCACTGACCGTGGGCCTCTCCCGAGGTCTGCAGCACAGTCCTGTCCATCAGCAGGGCTCCTAGAGGGCTGGGGCTCTGCTCTGTGTCTGGAGAAGTCCTGTCACCCGGTATTGGGGTCCCCCACGGGCCTGAGTTGGAGCCACTGAGTGTCTGTCCTGTCCGTGCAGGTAAGGAGAGCAAAGCCCCCTCCAAGGAGAAAAAGAAGAAGAAGAAGAAAGGCAAAGAGGTACCTGCTGGGCCGCAGCTGGGCAGGGGACAGTCCTGGGGCCAGGGCTCCGGCCTCCTGTGACTCCGTGGTGCCCCATCCTTGCGCTCCCCAGGAGGAAGAAAAGGCTGCGAAGAAGAAGAGCAAACACAAGAGGAACAAGGACAAGGAGGAGGGCAGGGAGGAGCCGCGGCGGCGAAGGCAGCGGCCCCCGCGTGCCCGGGAGAGGACGGCTGCCGACGAGCTGGAGGCTTTCCTGGGGGGTGGGGCTCCGGGCGGCCGCCACCCTGGGGGTGGCGACTATGAGGAGCTCTAAGCCTGCTGGGGCAGTGGCCGTCCTGGGCCGGGGGTGTGCCTGTCACTGCCTGGGGAGGCTTTGCGGCTGCGCCATCGCCTTTGCTGCTGCCTGGGATCTGCCACGTGCACTTTGGAGCCGGAAGAGGCCGGGCATCGGCAGCCCCGGCATGAACCTGCTCTGCAGGGAGGGAGGGGACACCTGGCTTTGGCTGGGCTCGGTGGACACCCTGGCCCTCTTGGGGCAGAGCTGCCAGTCCCCAGTGTTTCTCAGGGATGTGACTGAGGCCCAGGAGGGACCCGTGAGGGTCTGTTTACAGAGGCTGGGCAGGGGCCGCTTGGCCTTGGGGTGTGCACCGCCCTGGCACCTGCTTGCCCTCCACCCTGGCACCTGCTTGCCCTCCACACCCACCCAGGGCCACAGGGTGTCTGTGGCTGTGCCTCCGGCCGGGAGCCTTGAGCACAAGTGTGTAGACCCACCATAAAGGGCAGCCAGGCCCTGCACTACACAAGGCTGGTGAGAGAGGGCAGCACCCGAGGCCTCTCCTTGGGGAGGGGTGCTTCCCAGGTACCATCTCCCCACAGCGGCCCCCGCTGCACCCCGCTCAGGTGAGCCCAGAGACTGGAGCTGGGAGGCGCTCCTGTCACAGTCCACTCGGACCATAAAGCACTCCTGTCTCACTCCGCCTGTGTCCGTTCTTCTCCCTGCACCTCTGCTCCCGCCGCCCTGAGCCCAGGCTGCTGTGGGTTGGCAGGGAAGTCCCCTGAGGCAGGAGGCTGCCCACCAGCATGGGGCAGCGTGAGGGCACCCCCCCCCCGCAGCGTGGCCGCTGGCCACACCCTGGGTACATCGAAGCCCACCTGGGCCAAGTCCCAGCAGCTGCATCTGGCACACTTGGGGGTCTGCAGCCCCAGGAGGTGGAAGTCCACACCGTACCGCTCCCAGCAACCCTGCCCCTCCTTCAGGCCCCTGCCCCCTCCAGCTGTCAGCAGCGCCCAGCCTCCACCCCCTCACCACCCCCACAGCCACTGTTGCCATGAGAACCCTGCAGGGCGGGCAGGAGTGCGCCAGTGAAGGGGGAGGTGGCCATGCTGGAGGCTCCTGTGCCTGGGAGCTTTGTGGCCCTGGGGCATGGAGCAGTGCCAAGGCCCACAGCAAGCTGCCCCCTTAGGAACCTTGCCCCTTAGCCCACAGCCTGCAAGGTGAGGGCTGGCTTCCAGGCTTCCCCTAGTGTGGGGATGGGTCACGGGTACCGAACTTGCCAGGACCACACCATGGATGGCTGTATTGGGTGTTCATGGCCCTGCTTTGAACAGGACGCAGAATGGGGTCGGTTCTGCCCTTCAGAGCCAAGCGCATCTACTGCCTGACCCTCTGCCAAGCTAGGATGTTCCCCGGCCCAATGCCTTGTGGAGGGGGCTGGCAGAGCTGGGACGAGGACGTTACGGGGAAGGTTATGGAAGGTCACCTGCAGACCCCAGGCTCAGAACAGCCCAAGCTGGCAGGGACACTGGGTGCAGGAGAGGCTGGTGTCCTGGGGACACCGGAGGCTGCTGGGGCCATCTGGCCGCAGGTACCCGCCAAGATTATGGCATGGGCAGCCTGGAAGCAGATAGGGCCGCGGGGAGGCAGCCCATCTGCTCCTGCCGGGCCCAACAAGATCCCCCTAACCAATCTGCAGCGCAGCCCAAGCTGGGGCTCCTCCTCTCAGGCAAGTGTGTTCGGGTGATGCTTGCCGGCCACTCGGGGGCACAGGGTTCCTGTTGAGACTTTGAGGTCTGTCAGAGGGAGGCTGCAGGGACCCCGTCCTCCGCACAGCCCCAGGTTGACCCGTGCAGCTCCGTCCCCAGCTCCGCCGTGCATCCCCTACTGGGCGCGGCTCCTTTAAGTACAGCCCCTTCTTCCTCCACCGGGGGCAGCACTGAGCAGCCAGGCCTGGATCCTCGCTGCTGCCTCGAAGCTTCTGCCGGGGCCGGGGACGCAGCGGTGCTGAGGACACAGAGGAGCCAAGCTGGGGGTGGCACAGCCCACCGGGCACAGCCGGAGCACTACCCAGGTGAGGGGCCGAGCTGCTGAACGTGTCACTGTCACGGGCGGGGGAGGCTGCCTTAGGGCTGCGAAAGGATGGGGAGTCCCCGCCCCCAGGCAACACTGGCTGGATCCCTTGAAGGGCCGCTCCCGGCCAGGCCAGGGCGGAGGTGGGAGGTGGGGAAGGATACCCACCAGCCGCGTGGGCTCCAGAAGGTCTTGGGCCAAGGAGGGGGCCGACCCCACCCGCATCTCCACGGGAGGGGGTGTCCCTGACAGCCACAGCCAGCAAGGCCGGCTGTCACCTCCCTGGGGTGGAGCCTCACACCCTGTCATCCGGCCGGATGTCGGCCTGGCCTTGAGCTTAGCATGAATGGGGGAGCAGGAGGGTGGACAGTCCTGCCACCCGAGGAGAGAGTGGGTGGGTGGGAGGCTGGGATGGGGATGAGGCCTGGGACTGGTGGCCCTGACCCAGAAAAGCAGCCCTGCCAGCAGGAAGCTCCTGCACACCTGGGACACAGAGGGGCAACCCGGCCAGACCCCGAGAGGCCCATTCACCTGAGGGTCTGACGGGCGGGGGAGGGGGCCTGGCCAAGTCCCTGCTTTCCCCACTCACTCCAGGGCAGACCTGTCACACCAGGGGCTGAGTGTGAGGAGGCCAGGCCTGTGGCCACTGTCCGGCACACCCCGCAGCTGGCCCCTGGCCCTGGGACCACAGAGGAGCTGGTAGCCCACATCTGAACCCTGGCCAGCCGGCAGCGTGGGGGCCTAAGAAAGGCAGGTTTCCATGGAACCTCCTGAGTGAAGTGGGGAGGGCCCTTTCCTGCCAAGCAGCGGGGCTTCCCCCGCCCTCCGCCCTGCCCACCCCCAGTGGGCAGCTTCCGGGCCTGGCTCGCAGCTCAGGAGAGAGGGGCTGCCAGAGCTCGGCTCGCTGGCTGCCATGCACACCCCAGGGGGGTGTCCTGTGCGTTCACGCAAAGCTGGGCGTAGGAGCCCTCTGGGGGCCTTGCTTCAACACCCAACGATACTTCGGGTCAAAAGAGGTGTCGGCAAAGTAAAGGGGGCTTAGGACCCAGGTATGCTCTCTGGGGCATTTTCTGGCCTGGGGCTCACGGGAGGTTGAGGGCCCTTAGGCGTGGGTCCTTGCAGTGTTGGGGGAGGGGCTCTGTGCTGGGCCTGGCCACCAGGTGGGTTGGTTGGTGTCACCCACTTGGTGCAGAGCTGGCTAAGGCTGAGGCCCAGGGACTCGCTTTCGACTGTGCGCGATCAGAGGGGTCGGTCTGCAGTGACACCTGTGACGGGGCCGCAGTCACTAACGTCCCGCAGGGCAACACCTGTGAATAAGGCCCAAACGCGCCCGTCTTCCCAGCTGCGGACAGGAGAGGGCGCAACTCCAGGACCACGCCCCTACTCCCCCGCCCCACCCGGAAAGGGGTCCACCGGGGCTTGCCCCGCCGTCACTGGTCGGGGGAGGGGCGCCCCCGCCGCGGGAACCACAGCCACAGCTAAGCCTTTCTGGCCCCATCGCAGGGAGAGGATGAGGGGAGGGCAGGATCTGGGCGCCTGGACAGCTGGGTTCCTCCCGCAGGTGCTTCTAACCCCGGCATGGAGGAAGCGCCCGCGTTCTCGGCCCAAGCCAGCAGCCAGGGCTACTCCGCCCGCTGCGCCCCAGGTAAGCCGGGCCAGCGTGGGGGAGTAGTGGGGCCTGGGCTGCGGAGGGGGCCGCCCTGACCCGAGTCTCCCCCCAGGGCAAAAGCCCCGCAAGGCAGAGTGAGCTGGAGCCGCCAGCCTGGGGACCTCTTTTAAGATGACCCGTACGGACCCGCCGGACCTGTTGGTGTCGACCGTGTACCAGGACATCAAGGTGGCGGCCCCGGGACCTGCATCCAGGCGCCCGCCATGTGAGCGATCCGTGGCCCGGCCTGCCGAGCCCGCGCCTTTCAACAAGCGCCACTGCCGCAGCTTCGACTTCCTGGAGGCGCTGGACGGGCCAGCAGAGGAGACCATGCCGGAGCCACCGCCCCCGGAGCCCGCCGTGTCACGCGCCCGGACCCGGGAGGCCGAGCCTCGCCGCCGCGCCCGCTCCAAGAGCGCGCCCCGCGCGCCCCCGGGCCTGACGCCCGCGCCCGCCTCGTCGCCGGTGTTGCCCCGCCGAGGGCGGGAAGCTCAGCGGGAAGCGCAGCGGGCGGCGCGGGCCGAGGCGTCGCCGCGCCGGGAGCCCGCGTACCCGGCCCTCCGCGCGCTCGCCAACGAGCTGCATCCCATCAAGCTGCAGCCGCAGCGGGGTGGCCCCGGCCGCATAGCGCCCCTGTGCGCCGCCGCGGGCCGCTGCGCACCGCCGGAGCCGCCCGCGGGACCCGCCCCCCACGTGCGCTGCCGCCTGGACATCAAGCCCGACGACGCGGTGCTCCAGCACGCCGCCCGGAGCTCGCGGTCCTACGCGCCCGCCGAGGCCGCCTCCTGGGCCCGCCCTGCCCCGCAGTTCCACGGCCTCACGGTGCCCGGGCCCCGCCACATGGCGCTGTCGCGCACCCCCACGCCCAGCGACTCCTACTGCGCAGACCCCCGGGCGCTCTACTGCGACGGGCCCCTGCCTGGGCCCCGGGACTACGCCGAGCGCCGCAGCCTGCCCTTCACCACCCCGCCGGGCCCCACCCAGTTCTTCTACACCGAGGAGTCGCAGGGCTTCCGGGGCAGCTACGCGGCCAGCCCCGGCCCCACCTTCGACGCCTACTGCCCCAGGCCCTACCGTCCGGAAGAGCTCCCCGGGCCCAGTCCCCGGCGCGTGGGCGGCTACTACGCGGGAGAAGTGCGCACCTTCCCGATCCAGGAGCCGCCCTCCCGCTCCTACTACGGGGAGGCTCCCCGAGCCTACGGCCTGCACTACGGGCCCCGCTACGTCCCGGAGGAGCCCCGGGCCCACCACACCGCCCGCCCCTTCTACACAGAGGACTTCGGGCGGTACCGCGAGCGCGATGTCCTGGCTCGGACGTACCCGCACCCGCGCAGCAGCCAGGCCTGGGCGGACTGGGGCCCGCGCCCGTACCGCACCCTGCAGGTGGCGCCGCCCTCGGACCCCGACCCGCTGCTCGCCTCCTGGCACGGCGGCACCGGCACCAGCCCGCCCCGGCTGGTCACCGACAGCCGCCACTACTCGCGCTCCTGGGACAACATTCTGGCCCCGGGGCCGCGCCGGGAAGACCCCCTGGGCCGCGGCCGCAGCTACGAGAACCTGCTGGGGCGCGAGGTGAGGGAGCCGCGGGGCGCGTCCCCCGAAGGCCGGCGCCCGCCCGTCGTGGTGAACCTGTCCACCTCGCCCAGACGCTACGCCGCCCTGTCCCTGTCCGAGACGTCGCTGACCGAGAAGGGGCGCTCGAGCGAGGGTCTGGGCCGCAACTGGTACGTGACGCCCGAGATCACCATCACCGACAACGATCTGCGCGCCGCCGAGCGCCCAAGCGCCAGAGCCTGGGAGCTGCCCGGGGGACGCGCGCGGCCGCCTCCCCACGCGGCCCCCGACGGCCCCACCTCTGGCCGCCAGCGCAGCCTGGAGCAGCTGGACGAGCTCATCACGGACCTGGTTATCGACTCGCGGCCCCCCGCCGGCCAGGCCTCGGAGCCTGCGGCCGACTGCCTCGGCCCCCAGCTGCGCCGCCTGCTGGACTCGCGGCCGGCGGGCCCCGGGGCCCCCGCGCTGGCGCCGCCACGCTCGCCCCCCGCCTCGGCCGGCAGCGCGGAGGAGCCCGCGGCCCCGGGAGAGGCGGCCGACGCGTCCCCCGAGCCCAGCGCCGACGAGGACGACCTGATGACCTGCTCCAACGCGCGCTGCCGGCGCACCGAGACCATGTTCAACGCCTGCCTCTACTTCAAGTCCTGCCACAGCTGCTACACCTACTACTGCTCGCGCCTCTGCCGCCGCGAGGACTGGGACGCGCACAAGGCGCGCTGCGTGTACGGCCGCGTCGGCAGCGTGTGTCGCCACGTGCTGCAGTTCTGCCGCGACAGCGGCCCGGTGCACCGCGCCTTCTCGCGCATCGCGCGCGTCGGCTTCCTGTCCCGCGGCCGCGGCGTTCTCTTCCTGGGCTTCCCGAGTCCCGGCTCCGCCGACAACTTCCTGCGCTTCGGCCTGGAGGGGCTGCTGCTGTCTCCCACCTACCTGTCGCTGCGCGAGCTGGCCACACACGCGGCGCCCCTGGGCAGCTACGCCCGCGAGCTGGCGGCCGCGGGGCGCCTCTACGAGCCGGCCGAGTGTTTCCTGCTCAGCGTGTCCGTGGCCGTTGGACCCGGCGCCGCGCCCCCGGGGACGCCCGCCCTGCCCGTGCCCGCGCCACGCAGCCACGGGCCCACGGTGCGCAAGTTCGCCAAGGTGGCGCTGGCGGCCGGCAGCCCCGCGCGGCCGCCCCCGGCGCGGAGCCGCGAGCCCGACATGGAGACGCTGATCCTGACGCCGCCGCCCGGCACGGCGGGCCTGGATCAGGACGGCGAGGCAGGCCGGCGCGCGCGCGAGGTGGCCTTCATCCACATCCAGCGCGAGCTGCGGCTGCGCGGCGTCTTCCTGCGCCACGAGTTCCCGCGCGTCTACGAGCAGCTCTGCGAGTTCGTCGAGGCCAACCGGCGCTTCACGCCCACCACCATCTACCCCACGGACCGGCGCACCGGCCGCCCCTTTATGTGCATGATCATGGCCGCCTCCGAGCCGCGCGCTCTGGACTGGGTGGCCAGCGCCAACCTGCTGGACGACATCATGTGAGGCGCGGGGCCTGCCGGAGCCCTGCCCTGCCCGGCCCACCCACGGCCGTCCCCAGCCCCGCCAGGGCCCCGCCTCTCCTCCCCAGCCCTCCAAGCTCCGCTCAGTGCGGCCTCCAGCTCCGCCCAGGGTCCCCCGAGGCCCTCCGCCCCTATAGTGTTCCTCCCAGGCCCCTCTCCTTCCCACCTCCCAGCAGCCCCTCTCCCTCCTCCCGGGACCCCTCCCTCTCCCAGCTGGCCCTCGAGGTTCCCGAGAAGCAGCCGGTCCTAGCCCTCGGTGCTCCCCGCTGGGAGGCGGGGTGGGCCTGAGGACCGCCCCGCTCTGCCTTTACCGGGAGGGGTCGCTACTGCACAGGCCCCACCCGTACAGATCCGGTCCCCGTCGGCGCGCGAGGCTCTCACTGCAGCCTCCCCGACTCCGGTGTCCGCTCGTCCGGGAGCCCGACGTAACCAAAGCCCCGTCTCCCGCGGCTGGGTGCCTCCTCCCAGGAGAACACTCGGGTCGACCTCCTTGAGTCCATGCGCGTCCCGGCGAGGCGGTGGGCAGGGCGGGCGGTGCGCGGTGCGTTCCCGCTGGTCGGAGCCGGTACACTGACGCGCCAGGCGCCCTGCCGTCCCCTCGCCTCCAGCCGCTGCAGCCTGGGCCCTGCCAGAGCTGGGAGAAGCGGCAGGGAGGTCTTCAGGCCGATATGCAAGTCTCCCAGCCAGAGGGGCAGGGGACGTGGACAAGGAAGCAGAGCAGGTGGGCCCGGCCAGAGCTGACACCTGCTGGGCTAGAGGGAGGGAGGACCCAGGGACGGGGGCAGTTCCCAGCTGGGAGCCAGCCGGGGAAAGCTCGTAGGGGCGCCCTATGGCCGCCTCGTGCGAGCAGGCGAGGGAGCCAGCTAGTCGGTCAGCGAGGAGGCCCACCCGAGGGGACTTGACGGGGCCCAAGAGGTCCCCGCACACCCGCGGTGGCCGCACCCCGTACAGCGGGCCTGGAGGCGCCAGTCCGGTAGCCCGGCCTCCACCCGCCCCCAGCGCTCTATGGAGGGTCAAGTGTCCGGGAGAGGGGAGGAGGCCAAGCGCTGCGCAGGGCCCTCCTGGAGTCCCCAGCCCTACCTCAGAGCCAGGGGAGGGGGCACAAGGGAATCGGGCACCACCTCCTGCTCTTGCGCTCCATGCGCCCACCTTGTCACCGCGCGTTTGCACTGGCCAGGCATCCCGCTTGCCCCCCCGCCGCCGCACCCCCCGCCCCAGGGCCTCTGCATTCGGCCCCACCCCTGAGGGCTGGCCAGGAACACGCCCCCAGACCGGAATCTTTTCCTGGGGTCAAGAGCTTTCCAACCAAGTAAAATAGAACTTGAATGTAGCTACTGCTGTGGTCTCCTTGTGCGGTTGGAGGGGTTGGGGAGGGAGGCCTTCCGATGGCGGAGGGGAGAGTGCGGGTGGAGAGGGAGGCCTTCCGACGGCGGAGGGGGGAGAGCGAGACCTTCGGACGGTGGAGGGGGGAGAGGGAGGCCCTCGGACGGTGGAGGGGGGAGAGCGAGACCTCCGGACGGTGGAGGGGGGAAGAGGGAGGCTTTCGGACGGCGGAGGGGGGAGAGCGAGACCTTCAGACGGTGGAGGGGGGAGAGGGAGGCCCTCGGACGGTGGAGGGGGGAGAGCGAGACCTCCGGACGGTGGAGGGGGGAAGAGGGAGGCTTTCGGACGGCGGAGGGGGGAGAGCGAGACCTTCAGACGGTGGAGGGAGAGAGGGAGGCTCTCGGACGGCGGAGGGGAGAGAGGGAGGCCCTCGGACGGTGGAGGGGGAGAGCGAGGCCTCCGGACGGCGGAGATGGGAGAGCGAGGCCTCCGTGCGGCGGAGGGGGGAGAGCGAGACCTCCGTGCGGCGGAGGGGGGAGAGCGAGACCTCCGTGCGGCGGAGGGGGGAGAGCGAGACCTCCGTGCGGCGGAGGGGGGAGAGCGAGACCTCCGGACTGTAGGCGCCACGGGGACTCGTGCGGGACAGGAGGTCAGGGCTGGCGCACGCCCCTCAGGCCTCCTTCTTTGCCCCTGCCTCGCGGGCCATCTAACTGCCCCACTCCACGGGTGCTACCGGCCGCAGTACAGAGGAACGTTTCCGTTGGCTGTATTTAACCACCACCCACTCCCGGCTCCACGTTCCCTTTAAGCGGGGCTGCTGGTGCCTCGAGGAGGCAAGGAACTGGATTGCGATTGGCCAGCGCGTGCCTCCGTCGGCGGCACAATTGGCTGAGGCTCTGGGCTTTGGGCAGCATTCTCCGACGGGATTGGCCGCCGCTCTCCCAAAGCCCGCCTCCCGCAGTACGGGCGGCCCCGGGTCGGGTGGGAGAAAGGGCCTCCGGGACGAAGAACATGGCGGCGGCCGGTCTCGCTCACATTCCTGACGTGGACATCGACTCGGATGGCGTCTTCAAGTACGTGCTGATCCGAGTTCACTCGGCTCCGCGCTCCGGAGCTCCGGCTGCGGAGAGCAAGGAGATCGTGCGGGGCTACAAGTGGGCGGAGTACCATGGTGAGGGCGGGGCCTGTCGGCGTGCGGGGGCGGGGCTGCGGGGCCGCGGAGGGCTGCGTTCTGCTCGGAGCCCTGCCCCTGCGAGGTCTGACCAAGGTTCAGGTCCTGGGCGGGAGGGGCGTGACACGGCCAGGCCCACCCCACCTACACCCGTCTCCCTGTCCCCGCGCCCGCCCCGGTTCCACCCTACGTCTCTCATTCATCCCTGTCCCAGCCTCGAGGGGCTTCGTCTCCCCTGGGGAAGGGGCTGTTCAGAGCTGGGATTTCAGACCCCCTTCTGCTGGCTGGGAGTTCCTCCCATGGCCTCCAAGGGCGGCCAGGGCACGTCCTGAGGCCGCCCTCCTGTCCCAGCGGACATCTACGACAAAGTGTCGGGCGACATGCAGAAGCAGGGCTGTGACTGTGAGTGTCTGGGCGGCGGGCGCATCTCCCACCAGAGCCAGGACAAGAAGATTCACGTGTACGGCTACTCCATGGTGAGCCGCAGCCCCGTCCCGCCCTGTGAGAGGCCGCAATACCAGCTTGGAGGCCCACCTGAGCCTGCTGCCCTGACCCCTGACCCCAGCTGAGCACCCAGGTTTCCCGGGGTTCTCCGAGGGTGGGTGGCAGAGCCCTCCCTCGACAGCCGGATGTGTTCTCACATTCCCCCATGGAGCACACGCCAGACCTGAGGGGCGAGGAAGGCCCCCAGACATGGCCTGCCCTCCCCTCTGCATCCCCTCTCCCTGCGCAGAGAGGCCTGGCTGGGCTCTCACTGTCCTCCAGAACTTTGGGTCCTGGGCCCCAGAGGTGGTCAGTACCCAGGTGGAGCTCAGAATCCCCACCTGCTCTGTCACCAAAACCACCAGCAGGTGAGATCCCCATGCGCTCCCCTGGGTGCCTGAGGCCCAAGGATCTGCCATCAAGGTCTGCTCGACTGTGGAGGCTGCCTCTCCCCAGGAGAGCCCCCAGGGGAGGTCAGGATGGTGGGTTTGGCTCCACTCTGGGGTCCTTTCCACACTTGCTCCTGCTGTGGCTGGATGCCCAGAGCCAAGGCACGTGGGTGGAGGGGTCCAGGGCATCTTCTCTCTCCAGGCCTATGGTCCTGCCCAGCACTCCATTTCCACTGAGAAAATCAAAGTCAAGTACCCCGACTACGAGGTCACCTGGGCTAATGACGGCTACTGAGCACCCCCAGCCCCTGGCCTCCCGCCTGTGGCAGCCACACTGGAGCCCCTGCCTTTGCCTGCCCCCCTCCTGTGGGGCCGACCCTGCCCGCTCCTGCCACAGCCCCTGGTGACGTGCCACTTGCCAGGCCTCGGAGACAGAATTAAATGTATTGCCACACTCGCCAGTCTCCGGACTCTGTCCTTGGCTTCCCTGCCCTGGGTCACCACCTCCAGGGGCCTCCAGACCCTGACTAAAGAAGTGGCCCCAGGGAGTGGCCATGCACACTCAGCCTTTCCGGGTCTGATAAGGGGGCCCCCTGACGGCCTGATTGCTCTTCACTGGGTCACCGTCCCCCAGGGCATCTTGGAGGAGGCCCAGCCAGCCCCTGAGCAAGGAGGCAGGGCCTGGTCCCTCGGGCTGACCAAGACCCGTGGCGCCCACCAGTGCCATCTGCCCTGAGGCCCAGCCCGCAGGCTCCTTCGTGACCCGCCCCATGGGGCCCGCAAGTATCGAGGGTCAGGTACCCTGCAGGCTCATGCTGACTCTAGGGCCCCTCCCAGGTCCTTCCTGCTCCTGGCAGGGCTGTGGGCAGGCCATGGGTTCAGACCCTGCCCTGGGGAGTCCCATACACAGTGAGACTCTGTGAGGCGCTACAGGGGCATCCCAGGGGCCGGGGCTGGCTGTGCACAGGGCACCCCTGACTGGCAGGCAGCCCCAGTCACAGGTTGGCTCACTGGTCCTCTAGGCAGCCTCTCTAGGTGGGCATTATCATGACCACGTTTTACAGACTGGGGGCACTGAGGCTCAGTGACATGAGCTCTGAGTTCACACCGTGGGAAATCACAAATAGGGCCGGGGTCCAAATGCCATCCTCCTTCCCAGCCCCGAAGACCCCTGCCGTAAGTGTGGGTCTGTTCCATGAAGACCAGAAGCTTCTGGGCTCCCAGGGGCCCTGTGCCCGGCACTGGACAGCACCTGGCTGCTCAGGACGAATGGGTGCTGGGCGTTCCTTCGCAGCCTGACTCACAGGCAGCTCCCCGGAGGCTGAGCGTGGCGGCTGGCTCTGGTGCACGCACTGGGTGCTGGACTCCCGCAGCTGGTGGACTGGTTGAGTCCTGGCCTTGGCCAGCACCAGGCTAGTGCCAGAGGCACAGCAAGAGATCACGGCTGCCCGTGCTCCCCACCCCACACTGCCTTACAGAGTCCTGGTGGGTGCCTGGGTCCCTCCTCATTCCAGTGGGAGCCTCCCCTTCACTCCACCAGGCAAGGCAGGACAGGGTGGAAGGGCCTGACCTTCAGTCTGAGGGAGCCAGGCAGGGGGGAGCTAACCCTGGGTCAGGGGCCCTCTCCTGGGGCCGCTTCCACGGCCCACGCTTGGCACCGTCAGCACTGGGTGGGGCCGGGCCAAGGGGCCCTCCACTTAACAGCAGAGTCACCATGTGGGGCCAGCGCAGGCTAGAACCACACAGAGCTCCCCGTGCACCCCATGTGGCTGTACTTGCCCTGCTCCCTCTGACCCAGCCATGCCTCTGCCTGGCCACCTGCTGCCTATCCTGGTCCTGTTCCTGGGTAAGTCATCCGACCCCACTCCTGAGGCAGGACCTGGGGCTCTGGCTTCTGAGCCTGCCATCTGGGCGGTATCGACAGGCACCAGGGTGATGCCTGAGCCCCAGAGGGAAGGAGGACTGCAGGGCTGACCTGGCATCAGCCCATGGGGCCCTTGTGCCTGCCAAGCAAAGGCAAGACTCCCCTCCCAGTCAGGGACAAGAGGGGTCAGGAGGTGCCCCTAGCGCTGCCACACTTGGACTGGGTGGAGCCTGTGGGGCCCTGGGCTGCCCACCAATGCCTCCCAATGGGGGTCACCCTCCCAGTACCCAGTTCCCAGCTGGGCACACTGGGCTCCTGCTGCCTTTCTAGGGGTGCCCCATGGCAGGGTCCTCATCCCCACGCATGCCCAGGCCCTTCATCTCTTCAGAGCTGGAAACAGGAATGCGCTCCGCTTGGTCCTGGCATAGAGCCGGCGGGGAGTTCTCTGTGGGTCCTGGCCCCTCCCTGCCCCGTCTTCTGGTCTGAGGGGCCTCCCTGGACAAAGGGTGTCCAGTGCTGAGACTGGACAGTCCTAGACAGAGTGGGTTGCTGGTCACCCTGCCCCCAGGCCACCTGGCTGTCACCCTCCCAGCAGCAGGGTCCCCAGGCTGGGCCTGGGTCCCCAACCATTGCAGGAGCCCCAGCCAGGCCATGTGCAACTTCGTGTGTGACTGCAGGGACTGCTCGGATGAGGCCCAGTGTGGTGAGCCAGGGCCGGACAGGCGGGCAGGGCCCGTGTGAGCACCGCCAGCACACACCTGACCACCCGCTCTTCCAGGTCACCATGGGGCCTCGCCCGCCCTGGGCACCCCCTTCACCTGCGACTTTGAGCGAGACCCCTGCGGCTGGCGGGACATCAGCACCTCAGGCTACAGCTGGCTCCGTGACAGGGCAGGGGCCGTGCTGGAGGGTCCCGGGCCTCGCGCAGACCACACGCTGGGCACCGACCTGGGTGAGGACAGGGCGAGTTTCTGCGCGCCCCCACCCACCACCCTCCTTGCTTGCTGCCCCGTCTCCTGACGTCTCACCTGGGTCAGGATGGTACATGGCTGTTGGAACCCACCGAGGGAAAGAAGCAGCCACTGCAGCCCTGCGCTCGCCCACCCTGCGAGAGGCAGCCCCCTCCTGCAAGCTGAGGCTCTGGTACCACATGGCCTCTGGAGGTGCGCCCTGAACCCTCAAGGCCTATGGGGGGTACCCAAGGCGAGGGCGGGTGGCTCCAGGAGAGGTAGGGCAGCTGAGGGGGGGCAGGGCTGCAGCTGCCTGGGACCCCTGACGCTGCAGATGTGGCTGAGCTGCGGCTGGAGCTGACCCATGGCGCAGAGACCCTGACCCTGTGGCAGAGCACAGGGCCCTGGTGCCCCGGCTGGCAGGAGTTGGCAGTGACCACAGGCCGCATCCGGGGTGACTTCCGAGTGAGCTGGGGGGGTCTGGACGAGTGGGGGCCTTGGCGGGGGTCTGGGCCTTGACTTAGGTCCTGAGGGCCCCTGTTCTCTTCAGGTGATCTTCTCTGCCACCCGAAACGCCACCCACAGGGGTGCCGTGGCTCTAGATGACCTGGAGTTCTGGGACTGTGGGCTGTCCAGTAAGGCACCACTGCTTCCTGTCCCACCCTGGGAGGGCCCCACCTGCCCCCGCCCCACTCAGACCTTGTCTGCTCCCGAGTGCCCTCCCACTCCGGGGCATCCGTGAAGGGTTAACCCTGCCCCACCCAGCCCCCCAGGCCAGCTGCCCCCTGGAACACCACCACTGCCACAACAAGGCCTGCGTGGAGCCCCAGCAACTCTGTGACGGGGAAGACAACTGTGGGGACCTGTCTGATGAGGACCCACGCACCTGTGGTGAGGCCAGGGTGGGGCTCAGGGTGAGGCCAGGTGATCGGACGCCTCGGTGGGGGCCCTGGCACTCATCCAGGAGCGGGCACCTTGGATCCTTGGATGGTCCTTCTGGGGGCCACCCTGGAGCTGGGAAGCACTGCCTGGTGGCCCCGACAGCTCCACCTCCCACCCTAGGCCAGCACACGGCCACCAACTTTGAGACAGGCCTGGGCCTATGGAGCCGCTCAGAAGGCTGGGCCCGGAACCACAGCGCTGGTGGTACTGAGCACCCTGCCTGGCCATGCCGTGACCACAGCCGGAACAGTGCACAGGGTGAGGCCCACAGGGGACCCGGCCCGGGCCCCATCCCCCAGCCACAGCCCAGTGGCCCTGGCTCATGCCCGCCTTTTCCCGCAGGCTCCTTCCTGGTCTCTGTGGCTGAGCCTGGCAATCCTGCTGTGCTCTCCAGCCCTGAGCTCCAAGCCTCAGGCACCTCCAGCTGCTCGGTGAGACGGTGGGGTGGGGCTCACAGGGTCTCCATGCTGGCTGCCCGGGTGCAGGGGCCCCCAACCAGCTCTTGGCTCCACAGCTGATCTTCTATTACTACCTGCACGGGTCCGAGGCCAGCTGCCTCCAGCTGTTCCTGCAGACTCTGGGGTCCAGCAACCCCCAGGCCCCAGTCCTGCTGCGGAGGCACCGAGGGGAGCTGGGGACTGCCTGGGTCCGAGACCGCGTTGACATCCAGAGTGCCTACCCCTTCCAGGTGAGGAAGAGCAAGAGGGTGGGGTCTGGAGAGCTGCCCTGTTGGCAGGGGAAGGGAGCCCACAGGGTGCCCGCTGTGGGTGGACAGGGGGAGTAGGCTGAGCACCCCGAGCCCTTCTGTTCTCAGATCCTCCTGGCCGGGCAGACAGGCCCGGGGGGTGTGGTGGGTCTGGACGACCTCATCCTGTCTGAGCACTGCAGACCAGTCCTGGGTGAGCCTGCTGACCCTGCTGACCCCTGCTGACCCTGCTGACACTGCCCTGCCTTGCGCAGCACCCCCCCACCCCCGCCGCCTGACCCAAGCTCTACCCCCACAGAGGTGTCCACCCCACAGCCGCTGCCTCCTGGGCCCTGGGTCCCAGCCCCCGGGCCCCTGCCGCCCAGCTCTCGGCTCCAGGATTTCTGCCAACAGGGCCATCTCGCCTGTGGGGACCTGTGTGTGGCCCCGGAACAGCTGTGTGACTTTGAGCAGCAGTGTGCAGGGGGCGAGGACGAGCAGGCCTGTGGTAAAGGGCTCAGCATCCTGCAGACCTTCTGCTGCGGGCCAAAGGGGCAGGGACGGCGTGGGGCGGGTGGAGGTCTCTGCCGTTCAGTGCCGCCTGCTGTTCCAGGAACCACGGACTTCGAGTCCCCCGAAGCCGGGGGCTGGGAAGACGCCAGCGTGGGGCGGCTGCAGTGGCGGCGGCTCTCAGCCCAGGAGAGCCAGGGAGCTGGTGCCGCTGCTGCCGGTGAGGCCCATGTACCCAAGCCCCCGCAGGGGGCCACGGCTCACCTGTGAGCAGCATCCTGAGGGATCTCTGCTCTAGGCCCACACTACAGAGGGTCTCT